AAAATAAAAAACATATGATCATCTCAATAGAGGCAGAGAAAGCTTTTGACAAAATTCAACACCAATTTATGATTAAAAACCCTCCAGAAAGTGGGCATAGAGGGAACATACCTCAACATAATAAAGGCCATATGTGACAGATCCACAGCAAACACAATTCTCAACAGTGAAAAACTGAAAGCATTTCCTTTAAGACCAGGAACAAGGCAAGGATGTCCACTCTTGCCATTTATATTCAACATAGTTGCTAGCCATGGGAATCAGAGAAGAAAAAGAAACGAAAAGGAATCATAACTGGAAAAGAAGAAGTAAAACTGTCACTGTTTCCAGATGACATGATACTATACATAGAATATCCTAATGATGCTAACAGAATACTAATACAGCTCATCAATGAATGTGGTAAAGTTGCAGGATAAAAAACTAATACACAGAAATCTACTGCATTTCCATACACTAACAACAAAAGATCAGAAAGAGAAGCTAAGGAAACAATCCCATTTACCATCTCATTAAAAAGAAAATACCTAGGTATAAAACTACCTAAAAAGGCAAAAGACCTGTAGTCTGAAAACTATAAGATGCTGAAGAAAGAAATCAAAGATGACACAAACAGATGGAATCATATACCATGTTCTTGGATTGGAAGAATCAATATTGTCAAAATGACTATACTACCCAAGGCAATCTACATATTTAATGCAATCTCTATCAAATTACCAATGGCATTTTCGGCATATCTAGAACAAAAAATCTTAAAATGTGTATGGAAACACAAAAAACCCTGAATAGTCAAATCAATACTGAGAAACAAAAATGGAGCTAGAGGAATCAGGCACCCTGACTTCATACTATGCTACAAAGCTATACTAATCAAAAGAGTATGGTACTGGCACAAAAATAGAAACATTGATCAATGGAACAGGATAGAAAGCCCAGAAATAAACCCACACACCTATGGTCAATTAATTTACAACAAAGAAGGCAAGAATACACAATGGAGAAAAGACAGCCTCTTCAATAAGTGGTGCTGGGAAACGTGGACAGCCACGTGTAAAAGAATGAAATAAGAACACTCTCTAACACCATACAGCAAAATAAACTCAAAATGGATTAAAGACCTAAAATGTAAGAGGAAAACACAGGCAGAACACTCTTTGACATAAATGGCAGCAAGATCTTTTTTGATCCACTTCCTAGAGTAATGAAAATAAAAACAAAAATAAACAACTGGGACCTAATTAAACTTAAAAGCTTTTGTGTAGCAAAGGAAACTATCAACAAAATGAAGACAGCCCACAGAATGGGAGGAAATTTTTGCAAATGATGTGACCGACAAGAGATTAATCTCCAAAATATACAAACACTTCACACAGCTCAATATCAAAACAATAAACAACACAATCAAAAATGGGCAGAAGATCTAAATAGACATTTCTCCAAAGAAGACATACAGATGGCCAAAAGGTACATGAAAAGATGGTCAACATCGCTAATTATTAGAGAAATGTAAATCAAAACTACAATGAGGTATCACCTCACACCGGTCAGAATGGCCATCATCAAAAGGTCTACAAACAATAAATGCTGAAGAGGGTGTAGAGAAAAGGGAACCCTCCTACATCGCTGGTGGGAATGTAAATTGGTGCAGCCACTATGGAGAACATATGGAGGTTCCTTAAAAAACTAAAAAGAGAGCTAACATATGATCCAGCAATCCCACTCCTGGGCGTATATATCCAGAGAAAACCATAATTCAAAAAGATACATGCACCACAATGTTCACTGCAGCACTATTTACAATTGTCAAGACATGGAAGCAACCTAAATGTCCATCAACAGATAAATGGATAAAGATGATGTGGTACATATATACAATGCAATATTACTCAGCCATAAAAAGAATGAAATAATGCCCTTTGCAGCAACATGGATAGATGAAGAAATTGTTATTCTAAGTGAAGTCAGACAGAGAAACACAAATATATGATAACACACATATGTGGAATCTAAAAAAAATGGTACCAATGAACTTATTTAGAAAACAGAACCAGAATCATAGACTTAGAAAACAAACTTATGGTTACCAAAAGGGAAAGGTAGGGAGGGATAAATTAGGAGTTTGGAATTAACATACACACACTACTATATATAAAGTAGATAATCAACAAGGACCTACTGTATAGCACAGGGAGTTATATTCAGTATCTTGTAATAACCTATATATAGGAAAAGAATCTGGAAACGAACAGATATATGTATATGTATAACTGAATCACTTGGCTGTACACCTGAAACTAACACAACATTGTAAATTAACTATACTTCAGTATAAAATAAAAAAAAATTTAAACAGAAGATACAAATAACTAAAATTAGAAATGAAATGAGGACATTACAACTGATACCACAAAAATAAAAAGGATTATAAGAGACTACTATGAATAATTATATGCTAACTAATTGGATAACATAAAAAACATAAATTCCTAGAAATCTAACCTACCAAGACTGAAATATACAAAAATATTAAAGATATTACTAGATCAATAATGAGTAAGTAATGAAAATGAATCAGTAATCAAAAACCACATAATAAAGTAAAATCCTGGACCAGGTAGATTCACTAAAAAATTCTATCAAACATTTAAAAAAGAAAGATCCCAAAGAAATATTTACACATTCATGTTCCTTGCATCATTATTCACAATAGCCAAAAGGTGAAGAAACTTAAAGGTCCATTAACAGGTGACTGGATAAAGAAAATATTGTATAGGTACACAGTGGGATATTATGCAGCCTTAAAAAAGAAGGGCATGCTGTCACATGCTACAACATGGATAAAACTTTAGGACATTATGCTAAGAAAACATAATACTCTGTACTCCTTCATTAGAAAACAATTCAACAAATAGGTGATTTCACACTGGTGGGCTATTTCAAGGAAAGGCACTAGGAGAACTTCTTTTGCAAGCTCCCTACTGGGCTTCACCAAGGTCGCAGTTAATCCTCATACCTGCCACTGGTAACCACATAGCAACGTATATTTTGTTTAAACGAAGTTGTTCAGGGGCTTCCCTGGTGGCACAGTGGTTGAGAGTCGGCCTGCTGATGCAGGGGACACGGGTTCGTGCCCCGGTCTGGGAGGATCCCGCATGCCGCGGAGTGGCTGGGCCCGTGAGCCATGGCCGCTGAGCCTGTGCATCCGGAGTCTGTGCTCCGTGACAGGAGAGGCCACGGCAGTGAGAGGCCCGCGAACCGCAAAAAAAAAAAAAAAAAAAGTTGTTGAAACCTTTTAAACTGTATTTCTATGCCTTTGAAATCTTAGTAAAGAACATTTTCTGTGTGAGGAAAAACAGGTGGTTAAAAAGTAATCCTGTAAAACGGAAAAAAAAAGAGAAGAGAAAAGAAAGAAGACTACAAAGGTTTTAAGATACTGTATCAATAAAAGGCCACCAGATTAGATAAAAAGGGTCTGAGATTGATAAAAGTCCAAAAACATCTCTGGGCTACCAACCAAATAAATAAATGGTTATTGGTTTAGGCCACTAAATTTTGGAGTGGTATGCTACACAGTAAGAGATAACTTACACTTATCTTAAAGTCTACTTTGATATTAATCTAGCTAAACAGGATTTTAGAATATTTTTATGGTATATTTTTTATAATCTTTTACTTTCATGACATATTTTTGACGTCAGTTGTAAGCAGAGCGAGTATGTACGTGTGTGTGTCTTACATCACACTCTGTCTTTGCTTTTAATTAAACTTTATCTTTGGATTTTAACTGCTGTACTTAGTCCCCCTGCATCTAATATAATTACTTACATATCTGAGTTGAAATATTTTATCTTAATTAGCTTTTAATTTGTTCCACATTTATGAAACAAAAGTTTAATGTACGTTTTTCTTTCCCTTTATTGCTTTCCTTTTGTTGATTATGCTTAAAATTCTGCTTTCCTACTTCTAATTGCCTTGTAATTTTGTAAGAATGTGATTTTAGTGTATGTGTTGACTTTGTACTGGGTCAGCTTAGCCACACTAAAAAACCTATCAACTCTTTAATGAGTCATACACTTCAATTTTTGTCACCTCTGCCAAGAGTTAGCTCAGCTTCCCTGCCTCATATTCACCTCTTCAGAACCAATGACTTCCTTATGGGAAAAAATATCTTTATTTTATAACTTATATCTTAAAATTTTAATATCTCAAAATTTTTTGGGTCTAATCTATGAGTTTTTGTTTTGCTAACCCTTGTACATGGTGGCTAAGTCTCTTATGGATTTTGAGCTCATATATGGCTGATATGAATCTGCAGGAATCCTGCTTGAAGTTGCATTCCTCCAGAGAGAAATACTACTTGCTTCCATCAGCTGCCCTCAGATCTACCAACCTGGGACAAATGTAGCCTCATAGCTTAGAATCTACTAATTGCCCATGCTGTATAAATTCAAAACCCAAACCTATACAAGACCTGAAGTACAGTCATGCATCCTCAATATGAGAATTTTGTTCATTTTCTGTCATTTCATTTACCTTGAACTTAGGAGAACAAAACATAACTTGTTTCCCTAGAACTTAGCTAGAACAAAACATATAACTTGCTTTCTCCCTTTGCTTAGAAGGAGTGGCATATTTGTTTTGTAGACTACCCTTCCAATTAGGCTGAGGCAATTAGATATTATTGTATGTAGGGGCAGGGTTTGGAGGAGTTCTAATCTATGCTTCCATTGAGGATGTAGTCCTTTTGAAAACAAGAAAAATAGCTGGCAAGCTTCAGAAAATGATAGTTCACTTTACAAAAGCAGTTAGAGAGCCCAGAATACAAAATAAATGAATTAACAAAAACTTGGTGTATTCATAATTTTTAAGCATTCATTGCAAAAGCAAAATAAACTTTTATCAAAAAATGGTTTTAAAATTTTTATTATATCCTTGAAATCAGATTAAAGACGATTGTTAAATCATTTAAAAATAACAATGCAAAAAAAAGAACCTACCAGATTTTTATCCACAACAATATACATATCAAGATATTGGGGAAATAACTTGAAATAGCCAGGTGTCTGAAAAACATACAACATGAGTCTTGAGAAATTTCCAAAAATTTGCCTTCTATTGAAATTATTTTCAGAGATAAACTGAGAGACGAGTTGATACTGATTAAATATTAAGGTGATTTTCAACTACAAAATTTATGTACTATTCAGAAAATTCCAGTCCAAAGCATGCTGTGATTAATAAGAATTTTCAATGAGACTCCAAGCTATACAAGAACCCAGGTATATTTCGATTTTTGCAGTAGCTGAAATTAGAAATATTAAGTTTCCTTTCCTTAGCCTTGTGATAATTTTTCATAGTAATCTTCCATGTGCGCAGATTTTCTGCCACCAATTATTAGAAACTACTTTTGACAAACAATGTAGTTTAGAAAAATCTTACTAAAGTTTACAGTCATAGGCAGTTCACTAGAGCCAGGAAAGTTATTTATGGCAGCCTACAGGTCTCTGTGGAGGAAGAATTCATCAGTTTGCTTTACATGTACCTTATGTAAGCCACTGATATTATTCATTTCTGAATTCTCACATTAACAAAGACTCATTTAGAAATCTAGATCACATATTATTTTCACCTAAATTACCAGAATAATTGAGGAAAAGGAATAATTTACATTAATTATCCAAATGCCCACACAAGAAAATTAGTTTTTTGCTTTATTTAATCTTATATTCACATATGTTTCCAAGGTTAATTACCTAAGTTTTTGCTAAACTTTCATCTAATAACAAGCATAACAAAGAACTTAATTTCTTTCTCCATCCATTTGAAAAGTCATGTAGAGCCATCATGAAAAAGTAAAACAAATTTAAAATTTGCATATCACCAAATTTTGCTCTGAAAGTATTTTTCATTTCATAAAATTATACTGAAAACTTTAAAATTAAACAGTCCACACTTACTTCTGAACTTTTTCTGACTTGATACTGTGAGCTATCATAGATGTAAGTGTCATTTTCCCATAACAGAGGAATATTAGTTATATCATTTTTTTCTTCATGAATCATGTGCATGAATCCTGATACAGCTTCCATTGGTTCAATTCCATATGAGATGTTTTTAAACTGCAATATTCCCCTGAATGTTAAAATAATCAAAACAAATCTGATATGATTCTACTGAAACTATGAGAAATGTTGATGTTGGCCAAAAATTTTTTTACATTTAAAGTCACTTTATTTTTCTACTTATCTCTTTATGCTTTGAGGTGTTGCTCCAGAACTGGACCAGTAATAACACAGGATATGAATGGCTTTTTATTACAAATATTCTAATAAAAGTATTTTGATTATCTTAAAGAAAGAAGGTCAGTGGCACGCATCCATGTGCTAAAGGGGTTAAGACCTCTACCTAGGGTGTTGATTTTCTAAGCCAACCTTTAGGAGCCATAGACACTCTTTTCCTTGGTCTTAGGTCCCTTTCTTCTCTTTGAAATCTCTACCTCTCCTCTGACACTTCATGTCTTAAATCATTTATCTGTGTGGCTGAGTTAAAGGTGCTATGCGCCTAAGAATGACTATGAGCAGAGCCAAAGTACCTGTCAGACTCAGGCATTCCACACTGTCAACCATTCTAGGAAATTAAGACACGAGTTAAAACATAAAGAATTTGGGAAAACTAGATTAGTATGGAGAGACCCAATCAGCACCTCCCACACTCAAGATTGCTCAAAGCCTCAAGCAGCATATCCTGTTAGAATCAACAAGTAGCCTCCCATCTGGAATGGATGCTGCCAGGGTGACACACTTTATTTTATCAGTAATTCTGGTTCACGCCTTTGGGAATTGAAATAACAAAGGTGACTGTAAAACTAGAAAAGATACATAAAGGATCAACTTATAGACTAGCAAGATCTAGTACTGGCAAATGGAATGCCTTTAAACAGGCTACAACCTGAGTCCTGAACAAATGTTGAGTGATACAAGAGAATTTGGAAAACCTGCAACATATCCATGATAATTGCAATCCATCTGAAAAAAATACACAGAGAAAAACAAATGGATAAGTTCTTTTTGAAATGGACATCCCAGATATCTCACTTATACTTTTTACTTTCACTACCTTAGTACTTTAATATGAGTGGCCATTACCCAATGAAGTTGTGCCAGGTAGAAATAAGAACTAGTCCACATTATTCGATTTCAGTGAATGTGTAAAATAATATTCTAAACTTTCATAATATTTGTATTTTTAAAGAAAATCCAGAATAAGAAATCTGTAACAAAATACCTAAGTCTTACCTGAGCTAACAAAGGCTGAAAATGTTGGGTGTCATCTTTGTCATAAGAATAAACAACAGAAGCTGAAGATAAAAATGATCTAGGAAGAAATCCCCAAAACATGGTCAAATTGTGAACAGAAGACATAGAAAAATTATTCTTCATAATACAAATTTTCCTTTTGAGGGAGAAATTTAAAGTAGTGCATTATCTTGGCATATCCTATTGCCCCAATGCTTGTCATTTACAATAAATTAGGGGCAGAGGGAGGCATTTTAATTATAGTGACACATAATACTAAAATGCATGATAATGAACGGCCTAAATTGCTAGAAATATCAAATAGCGAAATAACATAGGTCTCAATTTCCAACAAAGAACTTTCAATTCTCTGTCATTATTGCTCATTAATTCCAGATTTTAAACTTGAATCTCAAAATTAAAATGTAGGGTTAGGACAGAATTTTGAAAGATTTTTTAGCATCACTACAAATTCATATTCACTAAGCTTAACTAAGTACCAATTCTTCCCAATAACCTGGGTCTGAATTTTCTTTCATTCTCCTCAGTAATTATTCAGAAACTTGACACCGCTCCTGTCAATCATCTCAATAACTTCCATGTCACCTCATCAGATCACCTGTACCCATCCTCACTCCTTATATTTATTCCCAGAGAATGACTACTTCTTTTGCTCAAAGCAAACGCTTGTGCTATGCATCCTATTCTGCACCATGTATTGAAGATACATACTTTATTGGTACTGTAATTTCAAACTCTTCCTCTCTACTGGTTTTTATCTTAACACTATTGAAAAGTTTATTGTCAAGTCATTATCATCCTAAATAACTCTCCCTTGGCCCTGTGTCCTCCTCTAGCTATTCCCTACATATTTTCAATTCTCAACAGATTTTACCAAAAGAGTGGTCTACACACAGTTTCTTTGCTTTGTCAATTCTTACTCACCCTGAACTGCTCTGGAAAAGATTCATAACCACCAGAATGTCAAATCCAAGAGACAGTTTTAAAATTATCATTGCACTGGACTTCTAGCATTATTTTGAAAACTGTGACCACTCACTCTAATCACTTAATTTACATCACACATCACTCTTCTGCTTCTCTTCCTACCTCCCTGACCCTTCTAGCTTGATCTCTTTCGGTAGAACCGTAAAGAGAAATATTGGTCTTTCCCAAGATTCCGTCTTTAGCCTCAGTATATTTGTAAGCACTCTGTAAGCTCTCATTTAAAAAAAATTACACCAAACTATTGATTACTGCTAAATCTATATCCCTATTGCCAATCTCTCCTTAGAGATTCAAATTTCTACATTCATATACCTAAGGGAAAAAAAACCCACTTGAATATCTTATAAGCAATGCAAACCAAACTCACCCCTTCCTCACATAAATATCTCCTTCATTAATATCCCTCATTTTATTACACTATAACCTACCAATTTTCTTAAGCAACAACTAAATTATCCAAGATTCCTCACTGTTTCCCAATCATTCTACCAAATCTATCCTCAAGGTTTACTGAATTTTTCTTTCCAGCGCTATGATCATTGTTCAAGCCACTATCATCACTCACCCAAACTATTATATAATCATACGATTAGACACCTTACCTCCACTTTTACCCCCTCAGAAACAGCCTATAAAGACTCAACGGACCTATATAAGTACATGCTTAAAAACATTTTGGCTTCTAATACCCTTATCATGGCATTCTAGATCTTCTACAGTCCGGCTCCTGCCTACTTTTCCAAAATGTTTTACTTCTATCCTCAATAAACATGTCCTTCAGTCATTCACACTACTTTTTGCACACCACAAAAATCCAGTCTGTCTCACACCTGCACATGATTTCCTTGAAACAGAATGTCCCCCAACACTACCTCACTTCTTCACAGAGCTAACTATCTTCGCTCAAGTCATCTCTTTCCAAAAAGCCTTCTCTGATTTCCAAAGAATACTATCTACACATTTATCTTAATAATGCATTATAGAACAGTTCTCCATTTCTCTATTGATGTGTTTGAATATATCTTTCTATATTATAAATTATTTACCTGTGCCCATGTTTTATTGCCTTTTGTACGCCTATGACTTTACCCAATAACTGATATACAATAGGTATCAAATGTACATATGTATCAAATATACATTTGAATTGAAATAATCCTATTTGTAATTATTTTTAAAAATCAAGAAACCAAAAAATTAAAATTTGAAAAGATAAAATACTTACTGCTTTTTGAGATGGATAAAATATGGTTTTCCTTCTATTGTAATGATATAAGCAACCTGTATATGAGCATCCAAAAAAATTTCAATAACACGTGTAAATAATATATGCAAAAAATGTTTTCTTCAAGTTATGCTCTTAAAACTGACAAAATTAGGAACAATATATAACTATCATATGTGCTTCCCTTCCCATGTGGATGTTGGAATCTTCAGGATTCTGAATTGAATTGCCTCCTATTCACCGTTACTCACATATCTGAGGGACAAGCTTGCTGATAATTACCTTTTGGCTTAGACACACACCACCAATTCACCATGCCCAAGGCAAATGCCAAGATGCCCACCTCACTTGAGAGAAACCTTTGCTTGCTTACTCCCAGATCTCCTGGGAAGTAAATTTTCCTGCTCATTGGAAGAGACACTCCTAAAAGATAGAACTACAAGAAACCTACTACATCTCTAGCAAGATAACACGATAAGTACCATTGCACTTTGTTTATCGAATGCAAACAATGAAATTCCTCTGGAATAGAAGGTAGGAGAGGATAGAGGAAGGGCAGAGACATGTCTAGAGAACCCTCTAGAAGATAACAGAAAATATAAGATTCATTAAATTATTTATTTGGTTGATTTAAAAAACTTATTTTAGCAAGAGAAGTAGCCATTTAAAAGTTTTCAGTTCTTTAACTTTCTATTAGAAAAGAGCAAGATTCATTGCAGCAGATAAATGTTCTGAGAAGAATCTTTTGAATGGCACTCTACAAAGTCTAAGTGGACTCTTGAGGGGACCTGAAAATTGCACCCTCTAAAAATGCCTTCTTATTAAATAAATATGATGAAAAAATAAAGGAGAATATGATAGCACCAATAAAGTTTTAAATCCACATGTCTTACAAAGCAAAACAACAACAAAACTAGGATGCAATTAACAAGAAATGTACAAAACTGACAGGAGAGAAAAACTCAAAAAAGACATCATCCAGAGCTTCTACAACTTTTCATACACAGCATCCAACTGTTTGGAATTGTGTCCCCCTCCATCCAAATTTACATGTGAATTCCTAACCTCAGTCCCTCAGAATGTGACCTTATTCAGAGACAGGGCCTTAACAGAGGTAATCAAGTTCAGGAGAGGTCATTAGTGTGGGCCCTAATCCAATGTGAGCAGTATCCTTGTAAAAAAAAGTAAATCTGGACACAGACATACACAACAGGAGAATCCCACATGAAGATTCATACGAAGACATCTATCTATAAGCTAACAATAGAGGCCTGGAGCAGAACCACCCCTCAAAGTCCCTAAAAGAACCAACCCTGCGAACACCTTGATCTTGGACTTCTAGCCTCCAAAACTATGAGACAGTAAGTTTCTGTTGTTTAAGCCACATTGTTCATGTTTCTTTGTTATGGAAGCTCTAGTAAATGAATACACCATTTTTTCCATTAAAAAATTACAACAAATGCTAAAGAACGAGATCAAATTTTTAAAAATACAAATAAAAAATAGAGAATAATAACAAAGCCACAGTAATATCTATAAAATAACCATGATTAAAATGAGAAGATGGAGAATTTCAGTAGAAGTATAGAATCTTTAATAAAGGAATTAAAATCAGAAAGACATTTCTGATTTTATAGAAGAAAAAATCAATATCTATTATTAAAAATTCAATAAAAGGGTATAAGAGAATATTAGACATAGCAGGGGATAAGATTGGTGACAGGAATATAGGTCAATAGAAAATATCCAGATTGCAACACAGAGAGAAAAATATGAAAAAGAAAACAAGAGAAATGTGACCAATGAAAAATGTCTAACACTCATGTAATTATAGTCCAAAAAAATATGATAAAGATAAGACTAGGAAAGAAATGACATTTTAAAAATTCATGGCTGATATTTTCAAAGCTTATGAAAGGTATCAACCCACAGGCTCAAAATATTCTATTATTCCAAATCAGGATGAACACAAAGAAAGTAAACCTAGGCATGTCATGCTCAAACATTTAAAACAAAAGACAAAGAGAACATACTCAAAAATCAGTAAGAGAAAAATGACCCATTACTTTCAAAATAATTCTTAATAAATTATGTGTGGATGGATCTAGAGACTGTCATATAGAGTGAAGTTAAGTCAGAAAGAGAAAAACAAATTTTGTATATTAATGCATATATGTGGAATCTAGAAAAATGGTACAGATGAACCAGTTTGCAAGGCAGAAATAGAGACAGATGTAGAGAACATACGTATGGACACCAAGGGGGGAAAGTGGCGGGGGGCGGGTGGTGGTGGGATGAACTGGGAGACTGGGATTGACATATATATACCAATATATATAAAATGGATAACTAATAAGAACCTCCTGTATAAAAAATAAATTAAATAAAATTTAAAAAATAAATAAATAATGTGTAACTCTACGACTGAAACAATGGACACCAGAAGGCAATGGAATGACACCTTTAAAGTTTTGAAAGAAAAGTAGGAGTACGTATACTAACTTATATTAAGACTTCTAATAAAGCTACGGTAATTAAGGCAGTGGAATATGGGTCAAAATAGGAAGAACAGTCCAATGGCACAGATGATAAAAGGGTCAAGCCAACAAGAAGATATAACAATTGTAAATGTATATGCACTCAGCACAGGAGCACCTAAATGCATAAAGCAAATACTAACAAACACAAAAGGAAGAATTGAGAGTAACACAATAACAGTAAGGTTTTTAACACTCCACTTACATCAGCGGACAAATAATACAGACACAAAATTAATAAGGAAACACTGGCCTTAAATGACACATTACAAAATGCACTTCAGAGATACTTACAGAACATTATATCCAAAAGCAAAAGAATACACGCTCTTTTCAAATGCACTTGAAACATTCTCCAGAATAGATCACATATTATGCTAAAAACAAGTCTCAGTGAATTTGAGAAAATTGAAATCACATCAAGCATTTCTTTTCCCAACCACAGAGGTATGAGACTAGAAATCAAAACTAGAAAAAAACTGCAAAAAACATAAACACGTAGAGTCTGAACAATATGCTACTAAACAACTGATGTGTCACTGCGGAAATCAAATAGGAAATCAAAAAATACCTGGAGACAAATGAAAATGGAAACAAAGTGATCCAAATTCTATGGAATGCAGCAAAAGCAGTTCTAAGAGGGAAGTTTCTAGTGATACAAGCCTATCTCAGGAAACAAAATCTCAAATAAGCAACCTAACCTTACACCTAAAGGAACTACAAAAAGAAGAACAAACAAAACTCAAAGTTAGTATGAGGAAAGATAATGAAAAGATCAGAGCAGAAATAGATGACATAGAGACTTTAAAAAAAAAATGAAACTAAGAGCTGGTGCTTTGAAAAGATAAATAAAATCAATAAAACTTTAGCCGCACTCATCAAGAAAAATGAGGGCCCATATAAAATCAGAAATAAAAAGGAAGTTATAACAAACACACCAGAGCTACAAAAAATCATGAGAGTACTGTGAACAATTATGCACCAATAAAATGGACAATCCAGAAGAAATGGATAAATTCTTATAAATGTACAATCTACCAAGACTAAATCAAGAAGAAATACAAAATATGAACAGAATTGTAATGAACTGAATCAGTAATTTAAATAAACTCCCAACAAACAAAAGTCCAGGACCAGATAGCTTCACAGATGAATCCTACCAAACATTAAAAGAAGAGTTAACACTTGTCCTTCTCAAACTATTCCCAAAAATTAAAGAGGAAGGAACACTCCCTAACTTATTCTATGAAGCCAACATCAGCCTGATACCAAAACCAGACAAAGACATCACACACACAAAAAAATTATAGGATAACATCACTGATGAACATAGAGGCAAAAATCCTCAATAAAATATTAGCAAACCAAATTAAACAATATATTCAAAGGACCATACACCATGATCAAATTGGATTTATGTCAAAGACACAAGGATATTTCAATATCTACAAATCAAATATTGTGATACACCACATCAACAAATTCAAGAGTAAAAATCATATGATCATCTCAATAGATGCAGAAAAAGCTTTTGACAAAACTCAACATCATTTATGATACCTCAACATAATAAAGTCCATATCAGACAAGCCCACAGCTAACATACTCAATGGTGAAAAACTGAAAGCTTTTCCTCTAAGACTAGGAAAAAAACAAGGATCCTCACTCTCATCATTTTTATTCAACATGGTACTGGAAAGCCTAGCCAGAGTAATCAGATAAAAAATAAATAAAAGAAAATCAAATTGAAATGCTAGAACTACAACAGTCACTGTTTCATACAACATGATACTATATATAGAATATCGTCAAGAGGCCACCAAAAAACTATTAGAACTAACAAATGAATTCAGTAAAGTTGCAGGATACAAAACTGATACACAGAAATCTGTTGCATTCTATACACTGACAATAAACTATCAGAAATAAAAATTAAGAAAACAATCCAATTTACAATTGCATCAAAAAGAATAAATACCTAGGAATAAATCTAACCAAGGAGGTAAAAGACCTGTACTCAGAAAACCATAAGACACTGATGAGAGAAATTGAAGATGACACAAACAGATGGAAAGATACACTGTGTTCATGGATTCCAGGAATTAATATTGTTAAAATGACCATACTACCCAAGGCAATCTACAGATTCAGTGCAATCCCTATCAAACTACCAATGGCATGTGGCTAGAAGAGCCATACTCAAATAACTAGCTTCTGCAAGTTAGCAAATCAATGACAGCCCAAAGTTTCTGAAAGTCAGCCAATCAGTGACAGCCACAGCTTCTAGATAGGAGTAAGTGCCTCTCTCCTCTGACACTGCACTGATGAGGATTCTGAAAGTGAGAAGGCCAGCAAGTACTCTTCCTGTACTAACTGCACTAACACAGCTGAAAGCCTGACAGCACCTAAACACTCTCACTTCAGAAAGCCCATGGCTCCCTGACACCAGGCTTCCCAAAACCTTACATAACATTAACTCTGGCTTTCTTCAGAAAGACTGTGTTTACAACTGGCCCTTACAGGCAAATTGGAAGTTCCCCATTTTTTAAAATAACATATCAAGTTCAGTTTATAGTTTGTTCACAGGTTCACAATCTTTTCAACAGTTCAGCTCATTTATGATTAGTTATGAGTTTGAACGTGTGAGTTTCACTGACACAGCTGCAAGATTTTCAAATTCAATATTTTCAATTCTTTTTGAAATGTTTTGGAACTACTACCTATATTTTTATATGTGTATATTTAAACCCCAAAATGTCAAAAGGCAAGTGCAAATTTTGTAATGAATTTGCTAACAGTAGAAACTCCTCAACTGAGGAAAAAGTCCTTTTGAAGCTCTTTGTGCAGTTTGCAATTGTTCACTAAACATCAAAAATGGTGGAAAGTCAAATATAAACCAGCACATACTAACAGCTAGGCAAAAAAAATAAATGGTTTCCTCCTACAGTACCAAAGAAGGTCATATAACAAATTTGGGGGATTAAGAAAAATTCAGAGGAAGAAGATGTAAGACTTGTAGCAGGCACTGTACTGGTTTTCCACTCTGTGTATCAGCAGTCCTTCTGCCCAAACGTCTAGCTGAATGCACAACTACCAGAAATACCTTTTGATTCCAAAATTGCAAGCAAATTTTCAAGTGCCAAGTTAAAATCCACTGCCACTATCAAAGAAGTAACACCAGCTGGCCCTATGTTTAACACCTGTGGACCCTCATCCCGTAAATATCTATCTAAATGGGTCCATTTTACCCAAGATGATTTAAAATTACACTGGCCAAAATGAAGAACTTTTGACATTCCCAAATTAGTTTATCTCCACATGCAATTGGGAAAAAAAAAAAAGTGTAACAACTAGGCAAAATGAGTGGGAAGCTTATTTAATTGGTATCTAGAGCCTCTAAACACAACACGGAGAAAATTGTTCCCCTCCAAGCTATGGCTGAAAAGCTGACCCAGACTGTCTCTTAACTTGAAAAATCAGCTCATCTTTCTCACTTTCACTCACTGATCACTTTCAGCTCTTCCCTGACTAACTGAAAGTTGAGGTAAGTAGCTGCGGGCAAATCCGCAGGCCTAGGACTTGGGGGGGGGCCCAGAAAACTCAGTAATCAAGGTAAGTACTATTTCAATGCAATACTTTAAACAATCAAAATTAATGCAAAACTTCCGTGATGGAAAAAAATATCAATACCTTCAAGGAAGACAGGATCTGACCTGGTCTAACCTCATTCAGCCTCATCCTAATCCCAGTTCTTTGCTACTCCCTTAAATTCTGCACCTGAGTCAAGCACTTTGCTTGCCTTTCTCTAGTGCTGGCCCCGGTGGATCCTCCTTAGAATCCTTCATCCTCAACAGAAACACACACACACAGGGTCACACACACAAATACACATCAAAATGCTCCTCCCTGTGAATCTGGCCTGAGTGGTCAGCTGTGCCTCCAAGAGCTGGAGCCCACCTTCAGCTACTAGGGTCTTGATATTAAAAGCAACTTAACACAATTTAAGAAATAAAAATATTTTTTCCCAATTACATTAGTTTCTGGATGTTCTATTGCCTCGGATGTTGAAATCTTTTCAGGAACTGTGGTCTGCAGAAAGGTTTTATGAGGATCTAAAACAAAAAATAAGCAGTTACTGTGATACTTGTAATCTTGCATTATTCATTTCTAAACCCAATTCATTTGCTTCTCTACATTACCAAGTTTTTCTTATAATCTATGCATCTACTTTTCCTTTCTGCTGTCCTTCGGTCATTCTTACCGATAAATTTCTTAAGCCTTGTCAAATCTTAACTTTTTATTCGCTACACACACACACACACACACACACACACACACATAAAGTCAGACTGCTGTAGGTAGAAAAAGGCCACACCTTTCATTTCTGTCCGTTTTACAGACAAGGAAACCACCCCACGGAAATGAAAAGATTTCCCCCGGAGTCTGCCTCTCTGCCTCCTTAGCTGCAGACCTCGAGGCCAAGGGTCGGGAGGCTGTGGGGGGTGAAGGCGAGGGGCGAGGGGAGGGAGGGAGTACTGAGCCTGGATCCTGGACCAACGAGAGCAGCCCCCCGACAGAACAAAACGAGGGGAACGGTCTCTGGACTCACTGCGGCCCCCGTGCAGCCCGCCTAGGCCAGTGAACAGGACCAGCAGGAGGAACATGGCTCCGCTGACTTGGAGCCGCCCTGGCGCAACAGCGACGTCCGTTGCGCTGAGGGCGGAGCGCGGGAGCAAGACGCGCGCCAGCAGGGGGCGCACGGGGAAAACGCCGGAAGGAAAAAGCCGGCGGAGCGCTCGGCGGCCTCGGGCCGCGGCGGGCGCGCGCGCCCAGCGTGCCGCGGATGGGCCGGTAGGGCGTGGGGGAAACTTTCGCTCCCTAGTTAAGGAAGGAAAAGCCGCGCGAGTTCCAGTTCTCAGATGAAGCGGGTGCCTGGTTTTGTTTGCGTCTTTTCCTTAGGCCGGCGGTTTTTGTTTTCGTTTTTGTTTCTGCGGTACGCGGGCCTCTCACTGCTGCGGCCTCTCCCGTTGCGGAGCACAGGCTCCGGACGCGCAGGCTCAGCGGCCATGGCTCACTGGCCCAGCCGCTCCGTGGCATGTGGGATCCTCCCGGACCGGGGCACGAACCCGTGTCGCCTGCATCGGCAGGCGGACTCTCAACCACTGCACCACCAGGGAAGCCCAGGCCGGCGGTTTTTGAAGTAATTTCTAATCCCAGTGAAGAGAAGGAGCAAGGATGAAAATGCTCAAGTTGCTGACAGCAAACAAGGTTCCTCCTAGTACATTACTTACCGCAGGAGGCGGCAAAATGCGTGTATTTGCAAAGACTGGTGCGAACACGGTGGCTTCTCTACATTTCATGGTTGGATATGCCATTGCTAGACAGCCATGGAATGCAGAAGACCCCATATACGATCCTTGTCCGAGTATAGACTCTTCCAAAACATCTTCCTTAGTACCCTAAGTTATTATTGCCACACTCTGTAATCTTGCAGCCCCTAGTTTTTACGTGTTTACCTAGCCCTTTGTACGTTCTGCGTCTATTAGGACCAAGAACAGTTTGATTTCTTGACGTCTGTAGGCGTTCTTTCCTTCGCAGATCCTAGCCCACATCACATTAAATACATTAAAATACAGCCATACTCGATCCTGACTCTAAGTTTGCTTTAACAAATGTTGAAATCATGTCTATAAATTCACTTTGAAACTGCTTGGCAGTCCTGAAAAACCAAGAGAAGTTATTAGCAGAATAGAACAGTAACAATCTTTAAAAAGAATCAAGTGGCAGGAAATAAAGTCACAAGTGTTGGAATAAATAGTAGAATGTATACTTATTGCTTTGTGGATTTGCAGTTTGGAATATCCGATCGACAAACTCTCCCAGGAAGGAACAAGAAAGGATTTTTAAAAATAGAAAATACCAAAATAAAATTAAGAGGTAAGGAGAATAGAAGTAGAACTGTTAATAATAGCATTTTCCAGAAAGAGAAAAATTTAAATAATTAAGAGGAAATATTTAAAGGGATAATGGGGAAAGTTTCTCTTAACTTGAAAAATAAGAGAATGACTTAAGAAAGGACCCAAGTGTTAAAAACTGGGCTTTGGAGGAAAAACAAATCTGAAATTTTAAATGACAGGAAAGATTCTGAAATCTTCCAGAGGAAAAGAACAGAGCACCTATCAAGGGACAAGAGTCAGATTGACATTAACAGCCATACTAGGTGCATGAAATCAGTGGGTTATTAAAGTGTTGACTTCCAAACAGCTAAGGATGGCAGTCACACTAAGCCAGCCTCTTGCATACACTTTTAGAGGAGGGCCAAAGAACTGAGTCAAGTGGGCATCACTGAAGACAGTACTCTTGGAATTTACCTGGACTCTACAGCTAAAATCAGACCACTGAATTGGTCAAATTTCTGTACACTTGAGTTTCTGACAGTTCTGTCACTATTGCAAAACTAATTTCCTCTGTGGATACCGACCAGATTTCTAGTGTACATTAACACTGGACAATGCTGTTGGTGTGCATGCAAAGCCTATAGCCTCTCTGACACATCAAACACCCTGAAAACAAATAAGTGTGTGCTTAAAATGGACACAGATAAAGGATATTGCCTTTGTATGGATCTGGGCTAAAGCAGTGTAAGAATATCTTTAAGAAACTCATGAGTGTGGAGTTAGCTACAAAGTAGCTCTTGCCCAAGGTACCTATTGTTCCTATTGGCACTGCCTGTCACTTGCAGAGAGATTGCAGTGGGTCACTCACTCACCTAATCATTAAGGAAAAAGTATATTTTCACTTGAGCTAATTCTTATTTTTTTGGGGGCAGGTATAGTTGTTTCCCAACGTTGTGCTAGTTTCTACTGTACACCGAAGTGGAGTTCCCTGTGCTATACAGCAGGTTCTCATTAATTATCTATTTTATCCATAGTAGTGTATATATGTCAATCCCAATCTCCCAATTCATCCCACTGCCCCCCCTTCCCCCTCTTGGTGTCCATATGTTTATTCTTTACATCTGTGTCTCTATTTCTGCCATTTACAGGCAACTCTGCAGGAGCTACATTATCCTTGATTCCATAGTACATGTTCAGAAAACACGTTTTTGCACCTGCTCTCTAGCTTTCACATGGTATATCCATGTCTGAGGTTGGCAAGGCTGGACCAAGGGTCTAGGCAGCTCAGCTGGGTTCAGGAAACTATTCCACAAGCCAATAAACTGCAGAGGGAGATTTGCAAATGTAGTGGCTGGAAAAGCCACAACGCTTCTCTTCAAATCTTCCTGGAGCTGACCTACTGCAAGTAGTTGTCACTCTGGCTGAAATGTGTTGTATTATAGCCATGCACTAGCCGCTTATATTATTGATTGTGAAATATCCTTTCATCAGGATCCACAGAGCGACATGCAAGAAAATAAAGAAGATATAAATAAGTGGAAATATCCCATTTTCGTGAATTGGAAGATTTATTACTGTTAAGATCAATACTACCCAAAGCTTTCTACCAGCTAAATGCAGTTATTATCCCAATGGCATTTTTTGCAGAAATTAAAAAACCCATCCTAAAGTTCATTCGGAATCTCAAGAAGCCCAAATACCCAAAACAATCAAAGAAAAACATGCAGGTATCACACAAGTTATTTCTGCTCAGTCAAGCTTTCAGTAGTCTATTTTTCAAAGAGAACAACCTGTAGTACAAGACTGTTTAGAGAAGGCCCAATTTAAACATCTCTATGGATGAGAATGAAAATAATATGTACAGTACAAATTTAGTCACCTGCCATCAAAAGAAAGTATTTGAGTTGGCAAAAATGATCCCAAACCACGTGATTTGGCATCTGAAGACACCTTCTAACAAAAAACTGTAACCTCCTAATGATAACATTTCTGGATACAAAGAGAACTACATAGAGAACTACATAAAGCTTTCTGTAATGGTGGGACTTGGTAGGCACAGGCAAGACAGGAGAAAAAGTGTCTCTCAAAAGCCAAATGCTAACTTTCACCCAGTACTCAAAGTTTCTCTCAACTTTGAAGTAAAGTTATGTAGTCAGAATTTTCCCTTCTAGGTTAAAGTTTTTCTCTCAGCTTCTTGGGAAACGTCGGCTAGGTATCCAAACAGTTTTTAGATCACACTTGTGGTGGGCCTATTTCATGAAATTTAAATTAATTTTTCCTTGAGCAACCAAATAGGAGAAGCACCATTCCTGCCTCCAAATCTCTTCTAGACTTCAGGTGAAAACAGAAAAAAAGAAAAAAGAAATGACCCCCAAACCCTGGAAAAGTTCAGTAAGCCCAGAATTATGGAGGATATTCCAATATAATTTATCAAGGAGAACATATAAACCACTGTACGTGAGCTTCAATATTGGAATAGGAGCAAATTTCCTGTTGGCATATTTGGCCAAAGAAGACACAGAGAAGCTAGAAGAGCACAGGGATTTAATTGAATTTTTTGTGTTTAACAATTCCCTGAACCAAAAACCCAAGAAAGTACTGTTACATCCGATTGGCTAAAAGAAAGCCTCAATTAAAAATCACCTTGTAATTAAGTGGTAGTGTTCCCAATTATAGGATTCACAGAGGCCATCGGTGCTGTAACCTAATATGGCCAGGTTAAGGACTATGGAACTCAACTGATTCAATCATTTGAAAGAGTATTGTGTGAAATATCACATCCTGCGCATTCACACAGATGCACGTAACTGTTCAATTGGATATTCCAGAACTTCTCCAAAGAAGTTAAAATTAAAACCAAATATGATGACTCAGTTAAGGATTGTGAAGAAGCTACTTCCATAATACCTTAGTTAAATACTCAGATCCTATAAGCAGACTTTTCTGTCACTGTTTAATTACAGAGAGAAATAATTAGAAAACTGGTAGAGATGTAACAGGCCAAGATTCAAAAAGCCTACCTTAGACTTTCATCTTTTAAATATATACTTGGACAGATTCTTACAGAAAGCATTTCTGGGGTTAGAGAGACCAGCCGAAAACAGAATAGAAAGGATCCTGATCCTTTTTCCAGCCTGCTCACAAGCATCCCAAAAGCCCATGAAGCCCTTGCTTGAACTTTTGAAAAGAAGGCAAGATCTTGGATATGATGAAGTTATAAAGCTTACTAGATCTCCAGCGATCTGAAAACAATAAGCAAATCCTTCTACAATACTTATTACATTTAAGAAATTATCACGGCAGTCTTTGCCAATTGAAAAGAACGCAGTCCTCCTCAGAGTGAATATTACAAATGTGCCAAGCTCCAAGATAAATTCTTCGTCACTGAAATTAAGGAAAATGGATTGACAATAATTTTCTCCTCTTCCTTAAAAACTGGTTAGTGTATTTACATATACGTTTGGTGGTTTCATTTCAAAACAAAATTGGATACCTAAGCTTCTGCACCCATTTCCAATGTGGGAAGGGGGGAAGTTTACCCACACCAGCAAGCAATTCTCTGACACCCGCTGCGTGTGCTACTATTCAACTCAATTCTAACACTGTTTATGTGGAGATAGTGCCAGACCCCACAGATGAAGGGTTCAACCCCAGAAGACTGCCCCCTCCCCTCACACTTCAGATACCAATCCCAAATCCACGTTGTCACCTGTGCTTCTGACAAACCAGCTGTCAACTGCAGGTTCCCACAATGCCCTCCTTGAGTTTGCTACAGTGGCTCACAGAACTCAGAGATAACACATTACTTATTAGATTACCTA